GTATCCCCTTTCTACCGGGTGGAGCACCCAGAGATCTGATGTAATTCAGGCCCACGTAGGGTAGAAATGGGATAGTCGGCACAGGAAGATAGGGATGGATGGGTCCAGAGTTTGGACTGGTGTGTTGCCCTCGGGCGCACCTTCCAAAGGTCTGCTTTCGACCTGAGGACTGTTTCGCTTGCCCAGAGCCCTGAGCCCTCCTTCTATTATTTCTATTACGCCTCCTAGAGAAGTCTTGCCTGCTCTGAAGGTGGTAGAATTGAGAAGGGGCTGCAGTTTAAAATGCCTCCGATGCGTAGATGGAGTGTGAAGCCCCCCAGTAGAGTAAATTTTTCTCCCAAAGACATCCAGCTTTTTTGCATCACTGTTTCTGGGTGATGGGCCCTGGTGTGCTTGGGGGGCGGTGGTGTATAAAAATGTTCGAATCCCTTAGAGCAGAGGTGGGCAAACTAGAGCCTACGGGACCGTCCTGCTCAGCTCCCGAGCTCTGGCCCAGGAGGCTAGCCCCCGGCCCCTCCCCTGCTGTCCCCCCTTCCCCGCGACCTCAGCGTGCTCGCTCCGCCGCCGGCACAATGCTCTGGGTGGCAGGGCTCTGAGCTCCTGGGGCAGCGCAGAGCCTGGCCTGACCCGGTGCTCTATGCTGTGTGGTGGCGGCGGCGCGGCTGTAGCACCGCCAGCCAGCGGTGCTCCAGGCAGTGCGGTAGGGGGGCAGAAAGCAGGGGGGTGTTGGATAGAGGGCAGGCAAGTTCGGGGTGGTGGTCGGGGCCAGGGGTGTGGATAGGGGTCGGGGGGGGGAACAGGGGGTTGAATGGGGGCAGGGGTCCCGGGGGGTGGGGGGGACGCGCGTCAGGAATAAGAGGAGAGATTGGATGGGGCGGTGGGGGTCCAGGGACGGTCAGGGGACAGGGAGCGGGAGGGTGTGGATGGGGCAGGGATCCCAGAGGGGCCGTCAGGGAACGGGGGGGTTAGATGGGGCAGGAGTCCTGGGAGGATTGGGGGGGGGCAGATAGGAGGTGGGGGCCGGGCCACGACCCCCTCCCCTAACTGTCCCCCCATACAATTTACGAAACCTGATGCGGCCCTCAGGCCAAGAAGTTTGCCCACCCCTGCCTTAGAGGAAATGAAATAATTTCTCTAGGTTCTCTTCACTGTCGGTGGCAGGGGTCTACCAGTGTCTTGGTGGTCTCCTGTATAGTTTTTATGAGCGGGAGGGCAACCCGAGAGGGGCTCGAGGATGCCAGAATGTCCACCATGGGATCCAATGTCTCAGCAACCTCCTCGACCTGGATCCCCTGGTTCTGGGTAACCCTGCTCAGGAGCTGATGGAGGACCCTATTATCCTCTAGTGCAGGAGCCTGGGAGGTTCCAGCCACTGCCTCATCTGGTGAAGATCAGGACGAGGCTCTATCTGGGACCTGCACTTGTTCCTGACCCTCGGCACCGAGGGGATCGTGTGGTGCCGGGTCTTCTGGTATGGTGACTGGACCTGCGCTGAGGAGGATGGCGGAGGCGCGTGGGATACTGAAGCCACCGACACAAACCTCCTAGACTGGGGACCCCCGGCTTTGGTGGAATGCCCAGGGAGTCTAAAAAGGCCACTGCGTTGGAGCCTGCCATTGCACAGGCCACAGCATCGGGTGGAATTGCTGCCTCTCTCTGTGCCACCTCAATCATCTGTGCTCCGATCTAAGTTGGCTTCGCCTAGACCTAAAGGACTCAGACTCCAATTGGGAGGACTCACTGTAGGACCACCATGGGGGAGCAGTGCCGACCGGTGTGGCTCTCCTGCCCGTCCGCTGCTAGAAGATGCCAGTGACCGGCGCCATGGGGATGGCGACTGGTGCAGTACAATTGCTGGCTTGCCTCGGGACAGCACCGAAAGTCTCTCAGGTGCCCTGTCTCGCTAAGGTGGAGAAGGCAGTACCGTGAACGCAATGAGCTTTCTGGCAGCCTCAAAGGTCACTGGCGTAGATGGCAATTACAACACCTGCTCACGACCATCCCGGAGAGGGGAGTCTCAGGGGCCTGGACTCGACTGGTCCCTCGGTGGGGCAGGAGTCAATGGAGCCTGACTAGGCGGTGCTGCGCTTACGTGGCCCAACACGGGTCTCACTATGCCAGAGTCTTTCCGTGCCAGTCTGGACATGGGTTAGCGCCCTGTGTCAGGCATCATCTTTTTGTGGGGCACCAGAGACTGGGAACAGTGCCGCGCACTGCCCTGCATGGAGCCCCTGTGCGGAGAACTCTGTCGGTGCCGAGGGTCTCTATCTGAGTCCCTACTCGGTGCTGAAACTTCTCATGTCGACGCCAGAGCACTATGCACCGATGCCAAGGTGCTCGGCGTTCACTCGGCTAACCCTGAGTCCCAGTGGGGACTGAGGGCAGCTTCTATGAGGAGTATCTTCAACCACTGATCCCTCTTCCTTTTGGGTCCTGGGGTGAAATCCCCTGCAGATTCTATAACCGTCTTCTTGATGTGCTTCGCCCAGGCACTTTAAGCAGGAAGTGTGGGGGTCACTCCTAGGCATAGGTTTGCCACACGCAGCACAAGGTTTAAACCCTGGGGACCAAGGCATGCCCTGGTACTGGGGGGTGGACGGACAGGAGGGGGTACCCCCAGATGATATCTTATAAAAGACTAACTATATACTAACTACTAATTTAACTATTTACAGGAGAAGTCTGAAGACCGCTGAGAGGTTTGCTGAAGCAAGAGAGAATGAGCATTCCGGCTAAATGTGACAGGTGGTAAAAAGAAACTGAAGTGGCGGCAGGTTGGCAGGGCCATATATTTGGCACCAGGGAGGGAAAAACCTCTAGGGGAAAACCTTCTGGCTGCCATGCACACGGCGCGCACATACCTAATTGGAATCGACATGAGCAATCACTCGAAGAACTGATTGTTCCTTCCTTAATGGATTACTTTGCATTTGTCCTTATTGAAGTTCATTCCCTCAGACCATTTCTCCAGTTTGTCCAGATCATTTTGAATTTTAATCCTATCCACCAAAGCACTTGCAACCCCTCCCACCTTGGTACAGTCCACAAACTTTATACGCGCACTCTCTGTGCCATTATCTAAATCATTGATGAAGATATTGAACAGAACCAGACCCTCCTGTGGATAATACAGGCCTAAGTTTTTTAAATAATCCTAATAAGTGACAGGGAAGTGCATCAACTGCCAGTGAGCCTTATGAAGTTCTTAATGGCCTTCACAACACCAACCACCCCATCGGCTTCAGGAGATTTGCTGGGCCTCCCCCCACCCTCAGAATAGCAAGGGATCCCTCCCCCTCCCAAAGATCGAGTCCCCACTGTGAGCCATAGAAGGCTCACGCCCACCCCATTAACCTAAAGACACTCATTAAAAGCCTCCTGAACTGCATGAGCCTTAGGATGCTAGTGGGACTTTGCACACACCTCCTGCAAACCTTAGTGCATTCTTCAGGGGCCAGCCAAACCACTTCCCCTAGCAAGCCTCATTAAGGCAGTTTGCTCTCCAATGAACCCTGAGCGGGTTAGCATTGGGGCTGATTTTATTGTCACTCATTAGTATGGACCAAGCCTAATAAGGCTCCTAGGACCTTGGGAGTGGTTATGAGGAACCCCAACGAGCCTACGAAGTTTTGCAGGAAGTGAGGTTATTTCTCCTCTTAAGGCTCACTTATAAACCTCTTAATATCTGTAGGAGGGGTAGAATATCCTGCTGTACTGCCTCCCCATGTCCTCTTCTTCATTGTCTCCATGTTCTCACCCGCATATTCTCTTACTCTTTTGAACCCCATGCCCACACCACTCAAACACCCTCTTCTGATTTTCCTCTTAAGTCCATAAGAAATGAGCACCTGAGGAGGTCTGCAGGAATGGTGGTACTGAGGCTACCAGGGGGTTGGCAGGGCAGGGGCATTCCCACCCACCTTTAAAAGATTAATCCAACAAACAATGTTAATGCTCACACTACACTTGTTCTTATGTTAGGATACAGCAAAAATCAGAAGAATTCTCTGTGAGGAACTTATCAGCCATCTCCATGTGAGAACTCAAAATATAAACTTATCTTTCCCTTCATCATTTTTTTTAAATTTATAAATATAGTCTTGGGTGTTCTTGGCTTTTTTTTTTTTTTTTTTTAAATGACACTTAGGTTTTTAGGTTTTCAGTAGTTAGTTGGTGGCTTACTTTAAACTCAGAGCCAATGAGCTATTTGCACGTTACTATTTAAACTCCCAACTTTTAAAATTAGAATTTTGGACTTTCTGGACTAAGGCGAACCTACCTCAAACTCAGGCTTAATTTACCAATTTTAAGACAAACATTGTTTTGCTGTGGGGATGGGTGGGGAACCAGAGAGGGCAATATCAGGCTTTCCAGAGAAATTCAGCTGAAAATTTAATTATAGAATGGTTACTGCCCCTTTCTAATATCCACTAAAAAACAACACTGAGCTAACACTATCTACACAACACAGGATATTTATGTGACAATAAGTAGGTATCTATTAGACTGAGATGTCTTTTCTTCCCCTTTCCCCACCTAATACTGGCCATTGAAAACAATTCTAAATCGGATGCATTCATGAGGGGATAATGAAAAATCCACACACAAATAGAAACAAGAGGGGATATCTGAATTCAGCAGCATGAAGCCAATGAAGAAGTCCACCCAAATTTATTTTTTATAACTCATCTGGAATTGTTGTAACCAGAAAAAGAATTTTAATTGAAAACAATTTCAGGGCTGAAGTGCTGGCAACTGCTAGTTTATTCTAGGGAGAGCAGAGAACACTACTGCTATATGTAACTGTAGATATCTTTACATGGGTCAGGAATTTTTTTTCACATTTTTGATTCTAACACACAAAACCCACAAGCTCTTATTTTACCCCAGTTGCATCACCAGAAAGAAATTACAATTAATTTGCATTATGTGCCTAATGCTGTGAGATAGCCCACCACTTATTCCATTATCATTGCTATCCAGATTGCCTGTCTCCTTACCAATGCTCAGCACCACTGTTTTTAGCCTGCTCAGCTTCCTGTAAGTGTCTCGTAGCTGCTGCAGCCAAAGCAGTTGCACTCTCATTCTGGAAATCAGCAGCTACAGCCTGGGTAAAAGAAATAATGACTGTCACTCTGTTTCTTTGTACAGGTGCATTTTAAACACTCTTTTTGCAGCTGTTATACTTCAAACTAGCCGGTACAAACTGTATGTAAGGGACAGAAGCAATTTTTGTAACAATCAAGTTGTAATGCAATACCATTTGGGTCCTTTAGACACAGAACACATTTCTTACCAGCAACAAGTCCTGTGCAGCAATCCTTACTGTATAGGAAAAAGTGTCGTCATCTTCATCCTCCACAAATTGCTGTGGATTTGTAGTCCAGACTTTTATCTGAAACAAAAGCAGGGGGAAAAATCATAATAGTTCAGTATCATCTGGATGACCTTGAACACTGGAGTGACAAATGGAATAAAATTCAGTAGTACCAAGTGCAGAGTCATGCATTTAGGGTCTAATAAGAATTTCTGTTACAAGCTGGGGCTCATTAGGTGTAAGCAACAGAGACCTGGGAGCGTGGGATGATCACAGGATGACTATGAGCCACCAGTTGATGTGGCCATGAAAAAGGCGAACACGATCCTATGATGTATTAGGTGAGGCATTTCCAATGGGGATAGAGAAATATTAATGCCATTGTACAAGGCATTAGTAGGACCTAATTTGGAATACTGTGTACAGTTCTCATCACCTATGCTCAAGAAAGATTAAACTATACTGGAACAGCTGCAGAGAAGAGCTACTTGTCTGATAAGGAGAATGGACAGCCTATCTTAAGAGGGGAGATTGAAAGAGTTTAGCTTGTTTAGTCTAGCAAAACAAAGACTGGAAGGAGATATGATTGTTCTATAAACACATTAGGGAGTAAACACCAGGAAGGGTGAAGAACTATTGAAACTGAAGACAAGAACAAATGGATATAAACTGGCCATGAAGAAATTCAGGCTGGAAATTAGAAGGTTTCTAACCATCAGAGGGTGAAGTTCTGGAATAGCCCTCTAATAGGAGTCATGGGGGCAAAACACTTATTTAGCTTTGAGAGAGCTGGACAAATTTATGAGATGGAAACTTTTTTAAAGACACCATAACAGAGGCTCAACTTAAATGTATACCCCAAATTAAAAAACATAGTAAGAAAACCTAAAAAGAGCCACCACGACTAAACAAAGTAAAAGAAGCAGTGAGAGGCAAAAAGGCATCCTTTAAAAAGTTGAATCCTAATGAGGAAAATAGAAAGAAGCATAAACTCTGGCAAATGAAATGTAGGTCCCTCACCAAATGCTCTTAAGCAAACAGTCATGGGATAAGAGGGAAGGTTCTCTCATGGATTGGTAACTGGTTAAAAGATAGGAAACAAAGGATAGGAATAAATGGTCAGTTTTCAGAATGGAAAGAGGTAAATAGTGGTGTCCCCCAGGGGTCTGTACTGGGCCCAGTCCTATTTAACATATTCATAAATGATCTGGAAAACGGGGTAAACAGTGAGGTGGCAAAATTTGCAAATGATACAAAACTACTCAAAATAGTTAAATCCCAGGCAGACTGCGAAGAGCTACAAAAGGATCTCTCAAAACTGGGTGACTGGGCAACAAAATGGCAGATTGAATTCAATGTTGATAAATGCAAAGTAATGTACATTGGAAAACATAATCCCAACTATATTTTTATAAAATTATGGGGTATAAATTAGCTGTTACCACTCAAGAAAGATCTTGAAGTCATTGTGGATAGTTCTCTGAAAACATCCACTCAATGTGCAGCAGCAGTCAAAAAAGCAAACAATGTTGGGAATCATTGAGAAAGGGATAGATAAGACAGAAAATATCCATGGTATGCCCACATCTTGAATACTGCATGCAGATGTGGTTGCCCCATCTCTAAAAAGATATATTGGACTTGGAAAAGGTTTAGAAAAGGGCCACAAAAATGATTAGGGGTATGGAACGGCTGCCCTATGAGGAGAGATTAAGAAGACTGGGACTTTTCAGCTTGAAAAAGAGACGACTAAGGGGGGGAATATGATAGAGGTCTATAAAATCATGACTGGTGTGGAGAAAGTAAATAAGAGTGTTATTTACTCATTCTCATAACACAAAAAAAAACGGTTACTCACCTTCTCGTAACTGTTGTTCTTCGAGATGTGTTGTTCATGTCCATTCCAATACCCACCCTCCTACCCTTCTTTTGGAGTATCGGCAAGAAGGAACTGAGGGGGTGGAGGGTCGGCTGGCCCCTATATATAGCGCCATGAAGGCGCCACTCCAGGGGGCGCCGAAGCCGACCCTACGGACGCTGCTATAGTAAAATCTTCCGGCTGGCGTGCACACGGCGTGCACACACCTGCTTGGAATGGACATGAACAACACATCTCGAAGAACAACAGTTACGAGAAGGTAAGTAACCGTTTTTTCTTCGAGTGATTTTTCATGTCCATTCCAAGCAGGTGACTCACAAGCCCGAATCTAGGTGGTGGGGTCGGACGTTACTGCAGACTGGAGCACTGCGCGGCCAAAGGCAGCATCATCTCTGGCCTGGTGTGTGATGGTGTAGTGTGCCGTAAAGGTGTGGATTGAGGACCAGGTAGCCGCTCTACAAATTTCCTGCGCCGGGACCTGGGCCAGGAACGCAGCGGAAGAGGCCTGCACTCTTGTGGAGTGGGCCGTAATAGGCGGGGCTGGTATATTGGCCCGACTGTAGCACTCCCGGATGCAGGTTCTGATCCAAGCCAAAATTCGCTGTGACGTGACCGGGAGCCCTTTTATCCTGTCAGCCACAGCAACGAAAAGTTGGGTTGACTTCCTGAAGGACCTTGTCCTTTCGATATAGAAAGCGAGAGCCCTGCGAACGTCAAGGGAATGCAGCCTACGCTCCCTCGCAGAGGAGTGTGGTTTCGGATAAAAGACCCGGAGAAAAATGTCTTGACCCATGTGAAATGGGGAAACCACCTTAGGCAGGAACGCTGGGTGCGGCCTGAGTTGGACCTTGTCCTTGTGGAAGATGGTGTACGGGGGTTCAGATGTTAGAGCTCTAAGTTCTGACACCCTCCGGACTGATGTGATAGCCACCAAGAACGCGACCTTATATGAAAGATACAACAGCGAGCACGAAGCCAGCGGCTCGAAGGGGGGCCCTGTGAGGACGGACAGGACCAAACTGAGGTCCCAAGCAGGGACAGGTTGACAGATGTGTGGGAACAGCCTGTCAAGGCCCTTAAGGAACCGCGTAACGAGTGGGTTCACAAACACTGAGGTACCCCCCTCTCCCGGGTGGAACGCCGAGATTGCAGCAAGGTGTACTCAAACCGACGAGAGAGTCAGTCCCAGGTGTCTCAGATGCAGCAAATAGTCCAATATGAGGGGGACCGGGGTGAGCGAGGGAGCCCGGCCCCGTTGTGTGGCCCAGAGGGAGAAGCACTTCCACTTGGCCAAGTACGTGGTCCTTGTAGAGGGCTTCCTGCTACCCAGAAGGACCTGCCTGACCTGATGAGAGCATTGCAACTCCACCGGGTTTAGCCATGGAGCATCCAGGCTGTAAGGTGGAGCGACTCCAGGTTCGGGTGAAGCAGGCGACCGCGATCCTGTGTGATCAAGTC